CACACACAAAACTGGGCTTTCCGGGTGTAGGGATGGCAAACGACGCCCCCATGTCCGCATCTGTCGGCGTAGCAAAAAATGTATTAACCCTCATCACTTTTATTTTAACCCTGTTTGTTAAATTTACTGTTTGCGGTCGGGCGTGGACATGTGGATGCTGTCGCTCATGTGGGCCTTCTCCACGGCCCGGGAAGGAAGCTCCTTGCGAACTGGCCACATTGGCGATTAGCATTCCATGTTCAGGAAAACTTGTGTTTTTTTAACACAGTACAATCGCATGATGCTCACATATACATATACCCTCACTCAGATGAACATACTAACGCACACCTTATCCCTATTAGCATCTTTGAGATATTTAGCCGCCTCAAAACATATTCAGATTGACAAAGTCACTATGGACGGCTCGTATATATGTACATACAATACCCCATGTGGTACTACGGGAATTTGTAGCAATAAAGTTTGCGTAACATAAAATTAGAGTATATAACAATTGAAACCCCACCATATTCTCATATGAACGGTAGAAATCTAGCAATGGATGTATGGTGGATGCACAATATAGTGCCTTTTGACCTTTTGCTTCAGTTATTTGTTGTTGAAAATTAAGAAGTAAAATATGGATGATGTGAAAGGCTTGCATGTGGTCGACGATGTGAAGGGCATGCATGTGTTAGAAAGTGAAAAAGTTGAGGGCTTGCATTCACTTGATGATGTTGAGGATTTGCATGTGGTGTAAAGTGGAGGTGTTACATGCGTTGATGATACGGAGGGCATGCATGTGCTCAAAAATATTAATTATTATTTCAAAATATGTTAATGGTTTATTACAAATAGTCACTATATTTAAAACAAAACATGTAGTATTAAAATGTTCATCAAATATTAAAAAGAATAATCATGTTTAAGTTTATCATGTATATCAAAATTATTATGATATATTTAATGTTCATCGTGTATTTAGAAAATATCAATGAAACTGAAAGATTATCCACCCATTTTAAGGAAATGTATGCAATAAAAAAATGTGTTCACGCATTATGAAAAAGTTTCATAAAAAGTGTTCGCATATTATTAAAAAATGTTTGTATAACTTCCGAAAATGTTCACCCATTTAGGAAGCATTTTTTAATTTTTAAGAAGTGTTCACACATTTTCAAAATAAAGCATGTATTTTCAAAATGTGTTTGTAATTTTTTGGAAAAAATAAAGAAGAAAAGACAAAAAGCAAACAGGATAAAAGAAAATATATGTGTGTAATAAAATGTAGTATTTTGATTAAAAAAAATAAACGTGAACAACAGGAAAAGGTAATAAAGATAAAAAACAAGAAGAAGAAAAAAATGACCCGGCCCTGTGCTGGAAGCGGGCGATCCGTACAAAAACATTCATCATGTTTGCCAACCCAATTTAGCGCGCCGTGTTGGCAAGTGGACACTGCATTTCACAATTGGCGAGACATACCATCTGTATAGCTTCCCGGCGCGCAGGAGGTCGCAGTTGCAGAAAAGCCTACATAAAAGAGCCTCGGTGGTTTATTTCTTGATTCTTTTGTTTGGATTTCTTACTTCGATTTTTCCATCGGTTCCGTGTGTGTACTGTAGCACGTCACACTACATGTGCCCTCGTCTTGTGGTTCACAAGGAAGCATAAGTGAAGCACATGCATATTATCACGGGGAGTACAAGTTAGTTGTTAACTTGTGCTTCAAAAAAATCATTGTTGGAACATATCAACATGTGATATGTTTCAAAATTTCTGAAGATAGGATCGCAAATTTTTGATCATGACACATAAGCAAAGTTAGATGTATTGTAACACATTATTTAATGAGGGAAGAGAGAGCTATCATATCTTAATCTGGATATAGCTCTTAGCATAAAAATCAAGACAAGTCATACTTTTCCTCACACAAAACATGTTAAATAAGAACTCTTTTAGATACGCCAACAAGATATAGAAGTAATGCATTGGACAAGCTATATCTAAATACATACTTAATGCATATAAGATAGCTTGAAATAAGCATTGGGACTGCCATTAGTGTTAATGGATTAAAAGAAAAAGGAAATAGTAACTACATAAAGAAGGGTTAATGACATGTGAGCACACAAATAAGAGCAAATGACATGTATATTTTTTGAACTAAAGATGATACCCCACACGTTGTTGCGGGAACTATTTGAAATTATTTCATTGAGATTTGTTTGTATGAAACATTGGTATTTTGACTAACAATGTGTGAACTGAAACTAGCATATAATTTACTGCATTTGATTATTCTAAAGTTGTAGAACATTTATTAAATATGAGTAGCATGCATGGTGCATGTTAATGTAGGTCTTTCCCCATGATAGTGGCATGATGAGATGTCATACTTGCATGTTGAGAGAATTGGAGTTAGTGAATATGAATTATTTAGTTAATACATGCTGACATGATGATGTGGTATATTTACATGTTGAGAGAATTGGAGTTAGTGGAGATTAACTATTTAAGTATATAAGATTAGATGTTATCTCACACATTGGCGCGTGAATGTATTGCAATATATGATAGATACGCCAACAAGATATAGAAGTAATGCATTGGACAAGCTATATCTAAATACATACTTAATGCATATAAGATAGCTTAAAATAAGCATTGGGACTGCCATTAGTGTTAATGGATTAAAAGAAAAAGGAAATAGTAACTACATAAAGAAGGGTTAATGACATGTGAGCACACAAATAAGAGCAAATGACATGTATATTTTTTGAACTAAAGATGATACCCCACACGTTGTTGCGGGAACTATTTGAAATTATTTCATTGAGATTTGTTTGTATGAAACATTGGTATTTTGACTAACAATGTGTGAACTGAAACTAGCATATAATTTACTGCATTTGATTATTCTAAAGTTGTAGAACATTTATTAAATATGAGTAGCATGCATGGTGCATGTTAATGTAGGTCTTTCCCCATGATAGTGGCATGATGAGATGTCATACTTGCATGTTGAGAGAATTGGAGTTAGTGAATATGAATTATTTAGTTAATACATGCTGACATGATGATGTGGTATATTTACATGTTGAGAGAATTGGAGTTAGTGGAGATTAACTATTTAAGTATATAAGATTAGATGTTATCTCACACATTGGTGCGTGAATGTATTGCAATATATGATATATTTGGTTGCATGAAACTATAACATTTAGATAATAATATATAAATATTTTTTTAATTATTGTATGGTTGTAAAATATTTATATTTATAAATATAAAAGGCATAATACAAAAAAAACTAATCATGAGAGCTAAGCTAAGTTCACAACAAGACGTTGACATTACTGGTTGTTTTTTTCACTAAAAAGGACATTACTGGTTGTTTTCATACGTGACGGATGTGTACGATAAGTCATACTACGCCATATGTAACGGAAGTTACTCCAAAGACTTACCTAATCAAAGTCCCTAAAAAAGACCCTAATCAAAGTCGGATTTGTCGCTTGAGCGGGGGAGAGAGTATTAAGATTCGTGCCAGTCCTCGTAGGGTACACGCGTCCCGCCCAGATCCCGTCGTAGGTTTCTTCCCTCGGTCGTCGTCGTCACCCGAAGAAAAGAGGAGGAGAAGAGAGAGCAGCCAGGCCGCCACGCCCGCGAGCCGCCGCACGCCAACGGAGCGGAGAGGGCCCTCCTCCTCCGGCCGCCGCGATTATTCTAGCCTCTTCCAATCCTCCGCCGCCGCTCCTCCCTGCACTCCGCCCGCCTCGCGTAGGGCGTCATCGCATTGGATTTGCCCCCCGGCCAGAGCCGCCATGGAGCCGGAGTCCGCCGACGATGCAGCGCTCGCCGGTTGCAAGGTATCCGCATCTCTGCGCATATTCCTTCATGCCTCATACTTTTGCGATTCCATCGGGACGTGTTCCGCGGTGGATGCCCGCTTCTACTCTGCACGACGGCGACCTCAATCTGGTGACGGGTCGGTTCTAATTCTACGGCCCTCCCCCGGCGACCCCCTCCATAACATAGAACTCTGACGAGCCATCTTGATTAGTTTCGTACTCCTACCGCTTAATAGGTTTCTGCTTAGCAGATTAGGGACAGGGAAACTCTTGATTGATCGTCGCTTCTCAATTCCCTTCTGTAACTTAAACTAGCTTTACTTACCAAGTTTGGCTACTAGGTCCATACATATAACTGCTTACAATTAGACCGCAGCTGCGCATCTTACATCGTTACAAGTTGTTTTCTGTAGAGATTGCAATTTGGGATTCGACATTGCTGACGCCCAAGCTGACATGCCCTACTAACATTTTGCTAGGTGCTGAAACTCCTCACAGTTAGTATTTCTTAGTCTTCTTGCGTTGCTTGTTTCCGCAAAACTAGCTGATTTCTTTATCTGTTTGCCGTTCTCTTGCGCTGGTACTGTTTACATTGCTTGGCAACTTCACTTCAGTAAGATTGTTTGGAGGGATGCAATAGTAACCAAGTTTTAGATTCGAGTTCCATTGCTAAATGTCATTGCTGTGTCACCTTCACTTTAGTGGTACTTAATATCTGTATATTGTAGTTGATAGCTACTGGGTGCTCTTACTCAAGCATTCGACAACAGTCCAGAACTGACGTTATATTACACTATACCATGCCCTTACTCATGTATAGTATACAGGATAGCAGCAGCATCGATATTTCTGCCCTCAGCTCCTCGCATCATCTGATAAAACTTGTTTCTTGTTTACATCACTATGTATAATCAATTGGAGTGGTCTATACAAGTGATTATCTTATATAGCGCCCCTTTTCATGTATGTGTTAGTCTTGTCCTAAAGGAATAGACATATGTGGCTTATTCATCTGTTTTATGTCGCTGATAGCTAATTGCTTTGTTGCAGGACAAGTTGAAGCACTTCCGAATAAAAGAGCTAAAAGATGTCCTGCATCTGCTTGGACTTTCAAGGCAAGGAAAGAAGCAGGTTTGTTCAATGCAATTTCGTATATCTACATGAATACATTCTACAAATATAAATTCTACTTATTGCTTTACTTTACAAGTTTACATCACTTGCTCAAATGTTTCAATCTTCCCTTTACTTTGGGAACAAATAATCGATTGGATTGTCAAGTCATCCTTACCAATACTGTAACATCTTTCGGAACTAATTAACTTCTCTGTGCCTTTTAGTACTTATATTGAGTATTTACTTCTAAGCCATTTTTCGTTTTTCTGATTTTGCTTTACAATTCCAGGAATTGGTGGATAAAATCTTAGCAATACTATGTGATCAACAAGATCAAGGTGCATTGTTTTTTGTCTTTCTTCTTCCAAAAATGGCCCTTTTATACTGGTGTTTGTCTAAAGGTACAAGAGGAATAACTTTCATATTGTTCTTGCAGTATCACAACTGAATGGCTTAACAAAGAAACCGGCGGTTGAAAAAGAAACCGTGTTGAAAATAGTTGATGAAACCTTTAGGTGAGTTTATACATTTGTTCACATATTGACCTTGTGTTTGTATTATTTGGATTGACTCCTGTGTTTTGTCATACACTCATACTATCTGTTTTCGCTTACTATCTAGGAAACTGCACAGTCCTGCAAATTCTGCTGCAGCCTCACCAAATCAGATTGATTCAGGACAAAGTGTAAAGCCTAAAAAAAAGTTAAATGGTTCTGCTCAAAAGGATGTCAAGGTCCGTTGTCCTTGTGGTAGCTCCATGGCCAATGGATCCATGATAAAGGTACAGTTTTCATCACAAATATGACTACTTGACAGTTTGATTGTTTTTTCATTTTCTCCAACCAATGCAGTAAGACCACAATTTGTTCCTTGATTATGCAGATTTTATGTTGAATCATTAAATCAGTTTATTTATGTACATTCTGAAAGTTCAAAGCAGTGAATTGTTCTTATATTCTAAAACCCCCAAACTTTTAATTGTTTTGGAACACAGAACTTATTTTATTATGAATATCATGTGTTTATGAAACTGGCAGTTCTGTTCTTGATGGTTCTGTTTGTTTCCACCTAACTTGCTTGGCCCTTGCAGTGTGATAATCCACAATGCAATGTCTGGCAACATGTTGGTTGTGTTATCATATCCGAGAAGTCTGCAGAGAGTGTTCCTCAGGAATTACCTTCCAGCTTCTACTGTGACATCTGTCGAATAAATAAGGCCGATCCGTAAGTTCTTCAAAACTTTCATGTAATATCAAACTCATCTTTTGTTCTGCCTGCTTGCTTTTCAACATTTAAGGCTGAGAACATTATCTAATCAAGAACATTATCTAATCATTTCCTTATTCTCCAGTATTAATATTAAATGACCGGCTGTTTTAACATAGTTTCCTTCTATAACTTGCAGTTTCTGGGTCACTATCAATCATCCATTACTTCCAACATCAATAGCTCCTTCTAAAATAGCGACTGATGGGTGAGTTATGCATTGAATATTATTAACACTCACTTGATCGGTGCAAAAATTGATGAATTAAACTGAACCATGACATTCTGAAATTTGCATAGTTTTTGTGTGTGATTCTTTTCTATGGTCCAGGTCATATACTATACAGTATCTTGAGAAAACCTTTCCATTATCAAGAGCTAATAGGGAAATGCTACAGAAAGCCGAATATGACATTCAGGTTCTTTTTGGTTTCCTTCTTCATTTCCTTGAAGTATTAGTTTTGTCCAGTGTCATCCTTCAATAAGTGTTTCTTTGGTCATGCATTATTAAGAAATGCCAGATTGTAATTCAATGATTTAGCTGTGACTTGCGAGTATAGTTATGGTCACTGTATGCTATTTCCAGTCATCTTATGCCATACTAGAGACTATCAGACCACTGTATGTATGCATTGTTGACATTAAGTTTCTTTGCACCACTTATCTTCTTGCAGGTTTGGTGTATCCTTCTTGATGACCAAGTTCCTTTCAGGATGCAATGGCCTTTACACTCTGATATGCAAATTAATGGTAATATGCATTGGCCTACTAGATAACATCCTTTGATATAGATCTATAGAAAATTGTTTATTTAGCTTAAAGGACACATACTCAAGTTCATTGCACAGGTTTGGTTTCTTACGAGTCATGTAATCTACAAGTATCCATGGAAGATGCATCTTTAACATTTGCCTTATTGTTATACTTGGTGCACACACTGACACTGTTCCCCGCCATGCACCTGATTGAAGGACGGGCTTCATATTTGCCTTCCAGACTAATATTTGGCTGTTAAAATGAGTTCATGTTTGCATGGTGATTTACTTTCCTAGGTTTATGTGGTGTGACCAAAGCTAGATGTAGCTTGTGCTCGGTTGCTGTGCCGAATACCATTTGTCATCTTGTGTTGCATTCCCTTGTCCGATTACGAGCGATATGTGTGTGCACGTCTGTATGCATGTTAATCCTTTTAGCTTCCCAGTCCTGCTTCAAAAATGCCTCTTTCTCCTCTCCTTTATGATGGAGCCTGGTTGGATTCTCTTGTATAGTTGTATCTCTGCTTTAGTCCCAGCCTCCTACTCCCCCCACCCCCTGCGGGTATTCTCTTACTACTGTTCTATTAATTTCAATCATCATAGATCTGATTCATATTAGCAGTTCTTTTTCTCCCCCTCAGGTGTTCAAGTCAGGGTTGTTAACCGGCAACCTACACAGCAGTTAGGGGCCAATGGTAGAGATGATGGTCTTGTAGTAAGTCTTGTTGCCATGGAGCATGTTCTCTCTTATTCTTGCTTTTGAATGATTTGCCGAAATACCTATTATATTCTTTAGTTGATTATTAGTTACATTTTCTGTATGGATGTTTGTTGATCCTACTCATCATTTCTCTTTGCAGTTAACGGAATATTGCAAAGAAGGACCTAATAAAATTGTTCTATCTAGAAGCGACTCCCGCATGTTCTCTTTGGGTGTTAGAATTGCCAAGAGGAGGTCTCTGCAAGAGGTAACTGTTATGTATATTGTGTCACAGAAGGCGTTTCCACATTTCCATTGTCAAGACCGCCTACTATTAGATTGTTCATTTCATGAAGCATGTTTTTCTTCACCTTTTCCATAAATGCTGAATATGTTCTATTTCTCCCTCTCCTTGTCTTTCAACGTTTATAGGACATCTATTTGGTGATCGTGCATGCATGCAGTGTAGTGTGATTGACTCCAATAGGACTCTCTCCCCCTGTTGGAACACGGATCTCGCCCCCGTGCACCAAACACCTGTATCTTTCCTGCCACACTATTGTATCTCTCCGTCTCTACTTCTGCCTCCACTCCGGCACTGGCCATCACTGGCGTGGGGCGGTGCCACCGGAGAAGCTAAGAAACATCAATTTTTTGGCTAGGTGATCTACAATTTTCAACTATCAACATACATTTTTCTTCTCAAATGAATATCAACTTATAACTTCAAAAACTGGAGCTTTCAACTCCATGAACACCCAACTCCCAGCCCAGTGAAAACCAACTTCACTTACAAAAGCAGTAACTTCCTACTCGAGGAATACCAATTTCTGACTCAACTAGTCGCATCCAACTTGATGAAACCAACCTCTAACTTGAAAAACACAGTAGATCCAAGAACGGCAGGGGGTGGAGCACACAGCTCCTAAATCGTGGTGTGAGTGACCCTCATTGAGGCGGCAGTGGGTGGGTGCTTTCATATCGGCGAGAAAATTGTTTATCTATGGATCCATATTGCGGATGCCCAGCGCGAGAGGCGATTGGGAAGCGGCCCAGCAGGTTAGGGGCATGACGGTGGGGACAATGATCCAGAGCCTTTGTGTGTGGTACTTGCAAAGGTATGGCGTGAGTGGTGGGCTGGTGGCCTGGTTGTTGGAGATAAGGTAGAAAGAAAATGGAAAGTACAAACCAGTGTCCATGGGAGAAAAACGTGTTGTTTCTGTCTGGCTGGGTGGGTGTGTTTGAAATTGATCACCACAGTGACCATGCGCCAACTTATGATGCTCGTAATGTTTTTTTTTTGAAATTTCGTTAACCAGAACGGCCAGCCAAGTCGCTGGCAATCAATGCATGAACAAGGTCTGGCGCTCCATCTGGCCACAAGGCTGAGGATGCATGGCCCATTCGTGCACCGTGAGCAGCTAGAGAATCTGCTACCTTATTACAGCCCCTTGGGCAAAGAACAATCTCAAAAAAAGAAAAGTTTAAACGAGCAAGAACTTTAATCTCTCGGAAGATGACACCTATGGCAGAGCGATCCTGGGCCGTTCCTTTAATCGCCTGCACGAGCGTTGTGGAATCCGTCTTGACAATCACCGACGCCATACCCAACTGTTGTGCAGCTTGCAAACTCTTCAGACATGCCACGGCTTCAGAATGCAACGGGTTCAGTAAATAGGGTATGTTACCTGCACCAGTGGCAACAGCCTGACCACTTTTATCTCCGATGATGAAACCAAAAACCCCATTTGAATCATCCTGTAAAGCATTCCCATCAACATTTATTCTGAGTAAATCATCAGCTGGTGGTTCCCACCTCTGCTCCCACTTAGTCTGCTTAGTATCCTTTACTTCCCTCAGGTTAGTACAATCAATCAGGCTTGTTTGGATTCGGTGGCACACACTATCTGTAGATCGTCCCTGCAAGTGGAACTCCACTGTATTCGGGAGGATAGCTATTTTATGTGATGAAAGACGGCGCGGAAGTACTAAAATAAGATTGTCTGTGATGGAATGTTCCTTATTCCAGTTGGTTCCTGGCCAGGATTTCTGATTTATCTCTAGCTATGGTGTTAAAAATATTTTTTCTTTCCAAACTCCAGGACTGTGATTTACGGTTCTGTTCCTTTCTTATAATTTGATAATGGGCAGGTCCTAAATTTGGTGCCGAAGGAACATGATGGCGAGAAGTTTGATCATGCCCTTGCTCGTGTGCGGCGTTGTGTTGGTGGTGGAGCTGAGGCAGATAATGCTGACAGTGATAGTGATATTGAGGTTGTGGCTGACAGGGTCTCTGTGAATCTCCGATGTCCGGTAATTACTCTGCCCATTAATGAGAATGTTTAGATGCGTAGATATTTGCTGATACTTGATCTGATATATCTGTTGCATCTGACCTCATGTCCATTGAATACCGAATATTGCATTTGCCACCTGATGGCCTGACATTATTTTATGTGTGAGCCATGACACCCAACGCTTAAATTTATTCTTCGAAAATTATCATACGTACTTTATATCATAATTGTCAACCCAGATGCTATTCAACAATCCCATAATGGCAATATGGTATTGTATGATCCATAGTATATTTTGCACTCCTTGACACAAAGTTAGCCATTATGTCTTTGTATGCTAGGTTCTGTAATATGTGCCTTCCTGAAAGCTAATTTATCTCGACAGATGACTGGTTCAAGGATTAAGATAGCTGGCAGGTTTAAACCCTGTGTCCACATGGGTTGCTTTGATTTAGAAGCTTTTGTGGAACTTAATCAACGTTCACGGAAGGTTTGGCTGTTTTTCGTAAATTGACCAATAATTCTCTTTCCCTTCTTTGCCTAATAAAACTACATGTTCCTGTCTGCAGTGGCAATGCCCAATTTGCCTGAAGAATTATTCTCTGGACAACATAATCATTGACCCATATTTCAACCGGATCACTTCGCTGGTGAGTTCATAGTGAAAATGATGTACATGTTCAAGTCTACATTAGTCCATTATGCATTATTTTGCCGACACTGTTGCATTTTTGTGGTCCAGATCCAAAGCTGTGAAGATGATGTATCTGAACTTGATGTCAAGCCTGATGGTTCCTGGAGAGTTAAGGGTGGAGCTGAACTGAAGGATCTTACGCGGTGGCATTTACCAGATGGTACTCTCTCTGTAGCCACCAACATAGGGTCCAAGATCAACACAAGTATTGTAAAGCATGAGATTAAAGAGGAGTCTCTGTCTGACCAGCTGGGCTCCCGTATCAAGTTGGGAATTAGAAAAAACAACAACGGCAAGTGGGAAATTACGAAGAGAGGGGATGTTAACTCGACACAATCTTCTGATAGTGACCACCCAGAGCACTTTAAAAATGGAAACTTTATTACTCCTACAAGCAATAATGATCATGAGGACACTGAAGATTTGGAACCAGAACAATATGATTACCCTATGAGCAATGTACACGATCTTGATTCTTCTCCTATAGATGAACATGTCCCTGCAGTATCAAGAGAGCAAGATATAATAGTTCTGAGCGACTCTGATGATGATAACGTCACGGTGTTGTCTCCTAATGCTTTGAATTCCAGCTCAGCAGATGACACTGGAGATCCATTTCCACCCAATCCACCTGAAACTAAAGGAACGTGTGAGGAACAACCTGGAGGTGGTCTAGATGAGGCTTCATTTCTTATGTTCAGCGAAGATTTTGATGATCTGGGACAACTCTCATTTTGGCAGCATCCTTCAAATCCGCAGGATGATCCTGCCTTACAGTTGACAAATAATCTAGGTGAAGTGCAAAACAACACTGCCAACCATCAACCTCTGCATGAGCCAGTAGCAGCAGCAGCAAACCTACTGGAACATGGACATAATAATTGCATTGATGAAAGCCAAGCATCGGTTGCAAGGAATTGCGTTGATGAAAATCTAATTACTGCCAAGAAGAATGCGTCTCAAAAAAGGAGGAACCCTGAGGATGAAATAACAGCTTTAGATGGTAAGGCACAGAAACTAACCCTTCTGGTTTCTACAGTTCTATTATTTGTGATTTCTCCATCCATCACAACTTACTCTAGATACTCCTTCAGGGGACTAGAATTGAAGTATGGTTGCTGCTCCTACTATTGTTGTTAGATCAAACTATTTAGCAAAATGTTAACATGTTAGTGTAAGTTACTCCCTCCGTCCCAAAATATAAGAAGGTTTTTGACACTAGTGTAGTGTTAAAAACATTCTTATATTTTGGGACGGAGGGAGTACTTGATAGTTCCATTTGGTGTGAACACAGTGATTTCCCTTGTATAATTACACTTCTACATTTTCACAGGTAGACTTAATGTTTGATTCCTCGTGTGCAGCTTCAGTTGTGGATGATGACTTGCCTGGGGAGAGACCTGGTGGTCCTTTGTCACTGGCTCGGCAGCAACGGGCAGTTCGTCCAAGATTGGTACTAGCAATCGATTCAGACTCTGAATAGCAGCCTATGTTGTCCATTGTCTGGCGTGAGGCGTACACTGTCTCCTCCGTGGAATGATCACTGAAGTTTAGTTTGTGATCCTTTGGTCCGTCTGGCCTGTCTTGAGAAAGGGCGCTATCTGATTAGTTTGTGATCCGTTCGTCCGTCTTGCCTATCTTTGAGAGGAGGAACGCAGTGGCCAGTGGCATCTATAATTCAAATTGTCCTGGGAGCTGCAAGGAAGAGGCATTTAAAAAGAAAACTGGAGCTGATCTCGTAGGCCCTATAATCTAGCCAAGAGTGTAAAGAGATCCATTGTGTAGGCAATTTTGTTTTTTATAGCAATAGCATAGCAGGAACTAGAAATGGCAGTTGATGTACATATGGTTGATTGCTTTTCCATTCATTCAAGTGTTAGTCCTGATAGCTGAAAGAAGAGAGGGATGATGTCCCGTATTTTAACTCTTATAACTTATAAGGTGCATTTCATCATCGTTGGAGCCTCAGCCCAGACCCGATTTCTATAGCCTTAAACGATTGCCTTGTATATTATGGGACGGACGGAGTTGTTTTTGTCATCAAGGTGTCCTGAACCTAGATTTTCGTTGCAGGCTCTTTTGGACCATTGTGTTGTGCTTTTGACGAAATGCAGCAGGCACTGCCTTTCATTCGTTAAAGAGGGAAAAAGGACAGGTTACATGGTATAGAGGCCATTGTCAAGTGACCAAAACGGAAGAGAAAAGGCAAACACTATTAAACCCATTAAGCTATGCGTGAAGGACGTCCAACCAGTTATGTCATGTGGCGTAAGCTGGTTGGCTGTGGTGAGAAATCTTTTGAATTTTTTTTAGATGAGGGTGTGGGTTATTTTTTAAGTGTATTATTTTTAGATGAAGGTGAGGACCTCAGGTATTTTTTAAATGGAGGGTTATGTAAAGTGACACTCGTTGGTAGGCAGCGGCGGTATTTTTCTTCTTCTTTTTACTTCTTTTTTAGATGAACGTGAGGATTTTTTTTCTGAGATGTTTTTTTAGCCGAAGGCGAGGATTCTATGTATTTTTTTAAATGAAAATATGCGCGCAGTTTTGTATCAAGCGGTGCCACAGGATGGGGCCCCAACCACTAGTGGTTATGATGAGTAGGAGGCTGTTGTGGATATGATCTCCACCTGCTGCGTCAGGGAGAGAGCATAGCATGGTGGTTTGCTGCATAGCCCTCATCACTTGCATGCACCCGTGCCACCCAAATTGTAAAGGTAATGGAAAATGACGCATCCCAACCTGGCACCGCAGAGCTACCTCTCAGACGGCGCGTCATGGGCGCGCCCCAACCTTAAATCATGTTTGGATCTGTCTCAACAAGGATATGAAAGAATTACCATCACTGTAGCTGGATATCATATAGGATATAGTGGATACATACTTGCTATGGTTTTCCCATTATAAGGTATAACTGTCGCAGCTATACCGGGCAATTGTTGATTTGTTATTGTCCCTTGTTTGTCTTACATTTATCCTTCCACTATGAAGCAGACCAAAATTGTCATACATGGACAATTACTATATATGTGCTATGTACTTTCTGCAAATCCCACGCCACTAATTTCCGGTAAACCCACACTACTAATTGATATTGTATACTCCCTCCGTCCCATAATGTAATGTAAGATGTTTTTTGACATTTCGTTTCATAATGTAAGACGTTTTTTGACACTAGTATAGTGTTAATATGAGACAGAGGGAGTACAATATATGAGGGCTCATTTCACTAGGTTGTTCTTTGACTAAATCATCCTAATTATTGTACTGTACTGAGCGCTTGAATTATCGTATTGATTGGAGCAAGGCGACTATAGCGGCAAGATCTTAAAAGTGGTTCTTAGTGGTGTACCTGCTGTAGGTGATCAATTTGGTCTAGGTTGGATTTTTCTTTTATCTTTGTGATTGCATTTCTGAAAATCGGTTCAAAAATAATGATGCATATTCATTCCTGACATTTGATGCCTAGATGTTTGATTATAGACCGTACAAGTCGATGTTATTCTTTCGAAGTTCGAAAGTCAAACTACTTACATCATTGTTTCTACATTTTATGTGTTTCTCTATGAAAACATAATTGTGATGTTGGTAGTCCAGGAATAATGCATCCAGTGCAAGAATTCTTATGGATCAATGCACATAACAGTTACGCAGCAAACCTTTCTCTATAAAGTTCAAATTATATACATTGAAAATTCTGAAGTGGGTCAGGTTTTGTACCTGTTTGCTAATATAGATCGACTTTAGTATTTTGCATGGTTTATAATGTAATTTATGGATCAATATTTTTGCATAAAGCTCCCCTTTGGACTGTAGTTTTCTTCTGCTGCAGTTGTGTTGCATTAGTTGCCCAACATAAAAGCTCTAAGATTTGTCACATGTTTTCATGCCAATAATTTTTAAGCTGCCAATAATTATACTTCATGTGCTTTAATGAGGAATTCATTTAGCAAATGATATTTTCATGCAGAAGTCAATATTTTTTGCAATTTAAAAGTGCCTTATATTTGCATGTAAATTATTTGATGTCACAATATGAGCCTTTAGGTCCTTATCTGATATATTTACATACCCTCCTCCTTTTAGCTCTCGGTCTGAAATAAAAGTGAATTCTTATTGGAAATACACATGATTCTTTCCATATGGCAGTGGTAGTTCAAGGATTAGTTCTTAACTGCTTATGACTTATTACTGAGTACTTCTACTTAATATTTCTTATTATTTGTTGTCAAATAGACCTAAAGACACCATATTTATTTTTGTTAATAATCATTGACTTGATATTAGAGCTTTGACGTCTCAGTTTATATTAGAGCTTTCTCGTCTCACTTTATGGTTGTCTCTTGGGTAATTCGGGCACATAAATCAAGCCAAAGATATGAACTGTAATGCATTTGCAGGCAAGGGAGCACGTCCAGATGTCGTATGAGAAGAAGTGCGCGCAGCTGAGGACCCATGATGCCAATGGTGTGGAGCCGTTCACCATCGAGAGGACCAGGGCTGCGGCTAGGGACCTCTGGACCAAGCTCAACATCTCTGCCCCCTTCGTCGACGACGTGTCCTGAAGGGTCCTTGACCTCCGCGACGACTCATCTGAATGTACATGTATTTATTATAGTGTGCTCGACCTGTCCCCCTAAAAACCCTGATGCTCCAGGTGTTTGATCAGTGTTTGTTGTTGCTGTGTTGTATGTACAAGTTGGCAAGGATGTGGCGAGTCATTGGTGACGTGCACCGGGTGATGAAGCGCACATCAGATGAGGTTGAAGTGAGGCATCAGAGGCACGCCGGCCAACACATGAGGTAATTTCTATTGTTGTATCTTATGTTTCCAGGCAGCTAGATGCTTCTATCGACTCATGGCATTTTAGTTTCTTTCTCACGTGGTGCATCATTATAATAAGTTTATCAAAAATTGCATGTATGTGTTATCTAGATCCAAAAAGGAAATCGAAGGGGCGTTCCTACCTGGCACCGCCCAGTACATTCTCTGAATATGTTGCATTTGCACTGCTCTATGCTCTCTTCTAAAATATAATTTGTACTACGAAGTACACAAACTAACATATGCTCTCTTGTAAAATACAGATTGAATCTGAGCCAATGACCTATCCTCAGGGCCTAGAGAAACTATTTGTGATGTATGTTATGAAGACTGGATTTTGCAAGTTATTGAAAGATGCAAGTTTCTAATGGGGAACGAAGCATGAAAATCAAAAAAATTCCTACGAAAACCCAAGATCTAGGAGAAGCATAGCAATGAGAGGGGAGAGTGTCTACGTACCCTCGTAGACCAAAAGTAGAAGTGTATATAACACGGTTGATGTAGTTGTACTCCTCGCGATCCGATCACGATCCAACCGATCTAGTGCCGAACGGACGTCACCTCCGAGTTTAGCACACATGCGGCCCGATAACGTCTCCTCCTCCTTGATCCAGCAAGAGAAGGCGGAGAAGTAGATGAGATCAAAACCAACACGACGGCGTGGTGGTGATGGTGGTGGTGGAGCTAGTTCAGCAGGGCTTCGCCAAGCGCTACTAGAACAGGGACGGAGGAACTACGGAGTAACAAGAGAGAGAGGGGCGCCAAGGGCTTGGTGTGTCCTCTTGGGGTGCCCCCTCCCCTCTATATATAGGTGGAGGGGCGTGGGGAACAACCCCTCCAAGCCCTAGGGTGCAACCAAGGGGGAGAGGACTTGGGCTCCAAGTCCAATCCTATTCCTACTAGGACTCCCTTTTTTTCCTTCCCTAGCCACATGGGCTTTTGAGGACTTGGTGCGCCTAGCCCAATAAGGCCAGGGTGCCTTCCCTCAGCTCATGCCAGCCCTTGCCTCATGGTGGACCCACTTGTGGACTTTCGGACCCCTCCGGAATCCTCTGGAACCTTCTAGAAGCTTCACGGTACAATAACGAAAAAACTGCACCTTTTTCCGGAACCCAAAATATGACTTCCCATTTATAAATCTTTACCCCTCGACCATTCCGAAACTCCTCGTGACGTCCGGGATCTCATTCAGGACTCCGAACAACATTCGGTTACCAGTCATCAATTATCCCATTACTATTCTAGTGTCAATGAACGTTAAGCGTGCGACCCTGTGGGTTCGGGAATCATGTGTCGTGACCGAGACACCTCTCCGGTCAATAACCAATAGTGGGACCTGGATGCCCATATTGATTCCTACATATTGCACGAAGATCTTTTATCGGTTGAACCACGATGTCAAGGATTCGGTTAATCCCGTATGAATTCCCTTTGTCCGGCGATATGTTGCTTGCCTGAGATTCGATCGTCGATATCTCCATACTTAGTTAGTTACAAGCTACAAGGTTCACTGAGGGTCAAAAGACGACTACCCCGGCCATTTCACCCTTTGATTCCTGCATGAAGCCAGGGTCGGAGCTCTTCCGAGATTGAAGTGCAGGTGCTCAGAAAGTCGCAGGCCTTCAGGTTGAAGATCCTAGTATTCCTCTTTTTTCAGG